CGTTTCCATATCCTCTCAAAACCACATATCATCTGGCGGAAGACTGCTCTCGCAAACATCCTCATGCCCTTCTTGTTATTGTACGCATGATGATTTTTGGACTGTAATAACAAACAACAAGTTCAGATTGCAAAAATAGGTTTGCATAACAAGACTGTTTATTGCGATCGAAGTTGCTAAGGAGGGATCGAAATATTTACGTACTACGACATTTGCTAGGCAACTTGAGAAACAGTGGATATGATCCTTAATACTGAAACATACAGTAGTAGAAAGATACAAATATATATAGAAAGAAATAGAAACTATTCTGGGAATAGTTGCTATAATACGTATATGTTATGTAATATATGTCATATACGTATCATTCTCATATGTGACCGACCATCCACGTCTACCTGTCGAAATACATTCTCCTCGACCTTGACAATGTGGTGGTTCAGTTGAACAGATCTGCACATTCAGGCAAGACGTTGTGAGTGCCACGTAAATTTCACATTACATCGTTCAAACGCACTATTAGAGGTGTGCACAGTTGTTGACTTGGTTAAAGTATTAGCCTAAATCTCTACTACACCATAGAGTGCTGTGACTACTACTGAGCAAGTACCTTTGGACCAGCTAGTTGGTCTGTGGCTTCTTAGAAATCCTCGAATGAGGACCATGCTTGCTCTCGTTTCTAAGTTTAATTTCTCCTTCAGGTTGTTTTCCATATCCACTAAAGATCAAGGTACACGTGCGATGTGGCCTTTGTAATCAGAAAAAGATCCAATTCAATTTCTTCGCTTCTGTATAATAGCTTATTCATGAGATAGGTTTTTATCTTAGTTATGTAGCATGAATTTGAAGGGTCTCTGTTTCGTTGCTACTTCTTAACAAAATGACCATCACTTCCGCAAACCAAAAATTTCGCAGAAAATTTCTGTTAATACCCGCAATATCCTCGTCTCGGTGGAGTGTGACGAAATTGTGCCCGCCTTATCTAACCCGTTTCCCAATGGGTATGTTGAGGAAACGATGAAAATACTGTATTTTGTGCTGCACTTCCCATAACAGTCAGCTAGTTTCTGCATATAGGACGGCTACACTCTTTGGTCAATGATCGTTGATTGGACTGCATTCGCTTTGAGGTGTCAAACGTTTTTTCGTAGTCAACGGGGTTACAAAAGAGATAGGTGGTGGTTTTGACGGATTTCGTTAACCCATGACGCGGTTTCGATATAATCCACGCTGCAAAATCTCTGTTCAGAATTCTTTTTGCTTAACCGGTTGTAACTCATCGAAGGTTCTAGATATGTGCAAAAGAATAATCTTTATGGAAAACATGTAGAGTACACTGAACAAGCTGGTCAGATGATTGTTAGGAAGATCGCTTTGGTCACCTTTCTCGGGAATAATGACTGTACGCAACGTCCTCCAGTGGTCTAGCCTTTCCTCTTCCTGAAGTAAAGATGTCATATGGGTTCTCTGCCATTTGCACAAGCTCTCGTTTCTGCACCGAATCTATTCAACCCAGTCGGTGCGGCTTCGCTGAGCGTAAAAATTTCTACAATGGCAATTGCCAAAAAATTCGAAAACAGACCACTAACAATATTTTGTTTGAACAGCCACCACATCTTTTAAAATTATCGTCTCTAATAGGACTCACTCTCCCAAAGAGAAGATGCTAACTCTTTGATACTTCCGCGACGCTATCGTTCTATACTACATGCGTGAGGAGCCGTTGTTCTTGCGGAAATTTTATTTAGCCACAAGCTTGGAAGATGTGTTATTATCGCTTAGGAGGAACAAGACGAGTCGTTCATGAAAAAGAGGTTCTCAGTAAAGTGCTTTTCTCATTGGACTGGTAGATAAAGGAAAACTGACCGAAGACTGTAAGCTGCCTGTAGAAAGACTTAAAACTTGCGTCGAATTCGCTTCCGTTTCTACAATCCATCACTATTAAGGAGTTCCTCAACAAGAAAAAATTGTGTCTTGATTCTACTACAATGCATGCAACATGAGTGACAATAAATACCAGCTGTCGAAGATCGTTCGATAAATAATAATATGTGTAGGCAGAAAAATTTATTGAAAGCAGCTCAAAAACAGTTCAGTCTAAGAAGTGCGGTCATGTGCGATTAGAATGTTCCGCTATCCACCCTGATGAAGGATAGTCAGGTCATCACCACATCTCACCATGATATTGAAATTCCTAACAAAAGTTCTACACCAATTTTTCCGTTCTACAATACCCTTTTCGTATCGCGAGATCTCTGCTAGAGAAAAATTGTACCGAAATGTTCACTCAGAAGTTCGAGTCGACCACGCCGTTCATCGAATCCATGAAGTGGCATAACCCCAAAAACTTAAAGTAACACAACCGACTTCCTTCGAATTTGAGGCCACAATTTTTGCGCACTCCCCGCCACCTGGCAGTTTGGCTTCTCTTAGCATGGCAACAAGATGCTTGATCTTAAATGAAGCACAAATCTTTTTTCACGGCGAAAATGAGTGCCACTTTAGTTTGTAGGTTATCCTATGGCATATAGTCATTTCTTCGGTCTGAGAAAATCTTTTCCTTCGGCCGACCACGATCAAGCCAAATTCTGCGGTTTTCTAGGTTAGCATCAGTCAGTGTGTTTAGGCATTACACGGTCAATGTCGTCAATTTTTATTTACTGTTCACTTTTATTAATGGCAAGGTACTACTTAATTCCTTGGATACTTGGACGGCGCGCTCCGCGCCCCAGCATATTCTACGTTTTTGGAAGTTTTGCCGCATTGTGTTTCCTGGAATACCAAGGTCAGCGTGACCAAAGTCTGCCCCAGCTTGTCACCACCACAGGCAGTCGGCGCCCTTGTATATCAGAGAGATTTGCCACCCTGCAACTAATTTGATATCAGGGGGCCGTGGATCCTGATATTGGTTTACTCTTAGCTGGGCTTCATTATGGAAACGCCGCACTCCTTCTTAGCAAAGAAACCTTGCCGTGGATGAATCCCCTTGCTGTACTTCGCAGCCGGTCATTCAGACACTCCCAGCTACGATGAGGTGTTAAACCGTTGGGAAGAGCAGGATGTTATGTGAAATACAACCATAATGTTGCTGAGATATTTGCAAAACCCGTACCACTGGTGTCTGCGGTGCGGACAGAACACGCTGTTACCCTTTCCGGGAGCTAAACTAGTAGGCAGTAAATAAAACTTGACGTCACTGTAATTTATACCATAGCATACGCCTACCTGGTTTCAATGCCAATTTTGCGCTCCCCAGATCGATTCCGTTGACGGATAATTGTTGATAGCCCCTTTTAGTCAATAACGCGGCCGAGGGACAGGCGAAACGAAGGACTCGCATGGTGTGGTGGTGAACGCGTTAGTCTCCGGAAGGTGTAACAGCGTATTCGGTCCCCACCGCAGACATCAGCGGTCTGGAGTTTTAAAAGTAACTGAGCAACATTATGGTTACATTGTACAGTCAAATAGAATTATTGCGCTTGCTTTACATTATTTTATTTACAAAGTTGTTAACAGCGCTAGTTCTACTATTTCCACTACTTCATATTAATATGGCATTGTTGACGATAATTTTAAGGGTCTCATAAAGGTTGGAGGTGCTGCTAAGAACTATCATACTTTATATAACTACTATAATGCTGAGATATTTGCAAAACTCCGGACCGCAGATGTCTACGGCGGGGAACGAACGCGCTATTGTCCTTTCCGGGGAGTAACGCGTTCACCACCACACCATCCGGGTCCTTCGTTTCGCCTGTCTCTCAGCTAGTTCTATCGATCTTTTGCCATCAGCAATCACCCGTCAACGGAATTGATCTGGGGAGTCCAAATCGGTATTGAACCCAGTTAAGATGAGGCCGTAGTTATAATCACAATCTTAACCTTTTTTTATTTACTGCCTATTTTTTTTAACGGCAGGGCATTTTGCTAAAAATAACTACTATAATGCTGAAATCTGATGTCTGGAGTTTTGCAAATATCTCAGCATTATAGTAGTTATATTTAGCAAAATACCCTGCCGTTAAAAACAATAGGCAGTAAAGAAAAAAAAGGTTAAGATTATCGTACTTTATGTTTTCTATTCGCGGTCGCTTCTTTAGTTACCACTTGTTAAGAGAAGGAAGACCAACTGATTTTTCCGTCATTTTCTAATTTCATTTGCATGAAAAGAGATGATGAGGGCCATGATGAAAACTGCTTGTGATTCATGATACCCATGCTACTATTCATTTATCTGCAAGTCCCAAGAAAGTAATTCTTAATAATCCAAAGGAATGAAATGTTTTTCACATTTGCTTTTCTGCCTCTGGTGTTTCATGCTGCGCAAAATAAACAACTCAGTACAAGAACAAGTAAAAATCTTAGCAGAAATAAACGAGAATATTCAAGAATAAATAGGCAGACGTAAAAACATAGTTGATTAAATAGGAATCGAGTGTTCCCACATTGATTTCTTCAGTTTACTGCTGATAGCGTTCAGCTCAGTGGAGATCTCCTGCACAGAGGCTCGTCGAGCAGCTCTCTCCAGTTGAGACATTTCTCAATGACTGTCTCTACTATGCATTGTGCCAATTCGTAATTCACGTCTGAAATCACACAGATTGATCCCGCTTCGTCTTAGCCATGTGGCCCTGGGAGACCGCATTTCATATAACTAGGAAATCAGTGTAAAGACAGAATTTTAAAGAATAAATCCGAGAAGGTCCATTATTAGGCTTAGTTGCCACATTAGTGCCACATTAAGCACACAATAATCCGCGACTTGTTAGATAGAGGAATAAGCACTAGTACATGGGACGACATTAAGCCGCACGGTAGTTCTTTAAAACCACCAAACTCATTTCTTGTTATGACTCTTGTAAACATTCTTTTCAATGCCATTTCTCCATCTACGCTTTAGGCAGCTCTAAGCAGTACAGCCTCTATACTTACCGTCATAAAAAAGAAAGAAGGTCAGCTTCGAAGTCTAAGTGACTTGAAAAAAAAGCACGTGAAAAATATCAACCTTCATGTGAAGGCTTGGAGCAACTTTCGAGCACGGCTTGCAGAACCAGGTCCATACTGTAAGAAGCTGTCAGCGGCGTAAGTTCACGAGCCAATTCCAATTCTGGAGGCATTCGAGTAAAATCGCCTCTGTCAACATAAACGTGCTTCCTGAAATGGACGTCTTGTTGTAGAAAACTATTAAGAAGCCATAGTTTAGCAGTAATGTTGGATTTCATGTAAAGTTACTGGACTTGTTTAAGATTAGCCATATTTTGTAACTAATGTTCACCTGTGAAGAGTGGTTTCCTTAAATTCTTAATGGACTTTATGTTTTTATGCACTAATTCGGTTGGTTTTGATATGAAACGTAAAAGCGACAAATTAAAGGGTAAAAGGACAACTGGTCAACTGTTCTTCCTCAGTGGAAGGCACGTAAAAAGCGGTGAGTTTTTTCGAGAAGCTGTTGTGGTGTGATTGCGGATTAGATTTTCATTTTTCTGTATCTGTTATCGGAGCGTTTGACTTTGTAAGTTCTCGTTTTCCATAGTCAGCGAACTACGACAGAAAGAAATTATAGGTAGCATGCACATGTAGAAACAACTCGGTACAAAATTCACAAGAAAACCATTGCGAGACACTTATTGCAGGAAAAGAATCAAGAACCAGATGACGTACACACAAATGAGGAACTTTTCGAATTCATAAACGGTGTATGTAAATATGGGACTCGACTCTCTCGCGAAAAACGGCGTCTACAGGTGTCAAAATAACGTTGCGGGAACGACCATAGTAGCATACGCTGACTTTTAAGCTCTGTTTGTTTCCAGTGGTTTATTTCAACATATGGAAAAGTTTCCTTGCACTTCTTGTAATCACTCGATAGCTTATTTAACAGCGACTCTATGGCGTACGTATTTTATGAGAAGGCGTCTTCCAAATAGTTTTCCGCTTAATTTTTCACCTGGCAGCAGAGTGCGCGGCTAGAGAGTGTAACCAGTGAAAAGGCGTAGAAATGGCTGGCAACGCAAGCAGTGTGCATTGTCATTTTTGAAAGGCAGTTCGTTCTTTTCCTATGTTCAACAGCCATGATAACTTTTGGGTATTGTATGGAATGAGGGGACACCAAGACTATAATGTGAACATCGAACTATTCCTTGCTGAACGTATAGAACATCATTAAATGCTGACTGCGGTTTGATTGCATAATGGGACGAGTGCTTTTTCTTCACACAATAAATTAACATTTCAGAACAAAAAGCACACATAGCAAGGAGCGGACGGCACAGTGGCAGTGATGTCCGTCATCACGAGCATGGTGCCGGTCCAATTCTGCTCCGGGCCAACCAAGCCTCTCATCCCTCCGGGTCGGGAAATTTGTACTGGGGTAGTCTGGAAAAATTCACACTCTGCATCCAATTGTCAACGCTCCAGCCCGGCTATCTCAGAACTCCAGGGAGAATTGCTCGACCAGCATTCTACGACATTCAAGATGAAATGAAAATCCTCAAGCAGCAATCGGAACCACACGTAAAAGTTGGAAGATCTTCGCGGACAATGGATGCGAGGAAACGAATCGAATGTGAGAAGTGCTGGGATCCGCATAGCAGACGTAAAGACCAGTCATATAAAATAAAAATCAAAAAAGCACACATAGAACAAGAGAAAAGCAAAAATTCCTTCAAAACGCAGAGTGAAACCCATTTATAGGATGGGAATCACAATGAAACGAGGCGGGCACATGGAAAATGTTGGAGTGCTCTGTGCGACATCCATAGGTGTTACAGTGAGCACAGCGAAAGATTCGGTGCCGTCCAGTCCGCAACAGTACCAAAAAAATTAGGCGTCATCCCGAGAATGTTAAGCTACAAGTTCAGCTGCACGAGAAAGTCAACTCAGTGCAGTTTTTATAACTAAATTCAAGCCCACGGTAGCACTAAACAGCTAAAAACGAGTCAAAACAGCTCAAACGCGCACGCCTAAGAGTAGAACATTTTCATGTTTCTTCCACAAAGAAGTAGGACATTCAATAAAACGATTGCAAAAATTGGAAACATATGAAGATGAACTACAAATTGTGAAGGGACGAAATCTTTGCTGTAACTGCGGATCACAGTCTCACCATTCTTCCACTTGCGAAGGAGGTTACTGCTAAGCATTTATCTAACGTGAACATAACATCTCCATTTGCAAATTGCAACAGACCCTAAAAGATCACCAGCCTCGCCCACCAGAAATCAGTCAACAAGACAGTGCAGAAATGATCGGTAAGTAGCCAATCAACACTGCAAAGAATGAGAAGAATAGGCTATCAGAAATCGATATAGGAACATTCAAACTAAAGCAAGAAGTCGGTACCGTCAAACTTTACGCAGTGGAAGGAAATACTTCTAAATTTCAGCAAGACAAGCACAAATCCTTAATCCAACTACTCAGATACGAGAACATGTACACCTGCTTTGACTTGATAAAGGATCCGATCGATTATTCACCACCAAAGAATCGGCTGATGTTCTCCTTTGCGAAATACTGATGACTTCATTGAATTACCCATTGACCCAAAACTTCTCGCATGGATACTTTACAGAAAACCTTTATTCGAAAAAGTTCATTGATCGGTATTACCTAATCGAATACTTTGATGGCCCGTCTTTACTGGCTGGCGGGTTCCAGCACAATTTCCATTCTCCGGAGATTTGCTGGTTTAGGCACTGTATTTCCGTGGAGTCTCGAGCGCAACCTGGTCGAAGTGTGGTTTTGGCCGTCACCACCACAGGCTCTCGCATCCCTTACGGATCGGAGGGAGATTTGCCTCCATACGACTAGTTTGATATTGGGACGGTAGTGGATCATGGTACTGGTTTATCCTTCGCTGACCTTCCTAACGGAAACGCCGGATTCCTTCTCAGCTTGGGAGATCCTGCCAGAGGGATGAATCGCCTTGCTGTACATCGCAGCACGATACCCTGGAACACCTCCCAACCACGATGAGGTGATAAACCGTTGGGAGGATTGACCGGTGATACGACCAACAATTAACTGTTATAATTTCAGTCACAGCGGTAGAACGTGCAGGTATCGAAATAGACTTGAAAAGGGGGCCAAATACTTCCAAGCACTGATAGCAACGTATCCGCATAGTGGACCATAGTGATACACAGTAAATGGGAGCATGTATGCAGTACAACGACTACGTGCAACACTCGCCAATCTTACAAAATACGATCCTATGCTTCTGAAAAATAACGAAACCATAATACAACTGTTAAAATTAGGCGAAACGAGACCAGCCGAAGTGAGAGCAAATGACTCGCCTATGCCATGTCACTGTAGTACAATCTAAACATTGGTAAATGAAAGAGAACGAATCCCTCATTCTGGATCCCAACATTATCAGGCCTGTCAAGAATATCCATAAGACGATGGGCCACGTGTCAAAAATGGACAGCGTACCTAATAAATAACCACCCATGGACGACCAACCCCAAAGACATGTGGTAAGGTTACGGCTAATCGAACATGTCGGAATAGACTACTTTGGACCATCATCATTGAAATATACAAGAGAGTGAATGAAGGGCTAAAGAATAGTTCTTACTTGCACAGCCACAAAGCTGCTTTACCACGAACCGGTTCAAAACATGACTGTTGACGAACTAGCACCAAACATTTCGGCGATTCTTTGCTAGACGAAAAGTAGCAAGCACTCTTAGCTCTCCGGTTGGTTGCAGACTGGACAGCTCTTGATTTTCAGCTTTTATGGACTTGCCGATTTTTTTGACAACAAACAAAAGTTCTTAATAACTACAGAAAATTGTGGGCTGTGAATATGAATGGTTTGTAGAAAAGCCTCTGCTCTAATCCTCACGATATTTATAGCATGCTTACTATACCTTCTTCCCAACGGTTTCGCACCTCATCATGGCTGGGAAGTGTCGCTCTGCGAAGTAAACCGGGCATTTATTCCTCGGCATGAATGCCTACCAAATCGAGAAAGAGTCCAGCTTTTCCATCAGAAAGCCCAGCTAAGAGTAAACCAATACGAGGACCCACCACCGTCCTGGTATCGAACTAGTCGCGTGTTGGAAAATCTCCCTCTGATCCACAAAGGATGCGACTGCCTGTGATGGTGACGACCGTAGGCAGACTTTGACCAGACTATCCCTTGGAACTCCAGGAAACCACAATGGCTATAGCAGCAAAACTCTGAAGAGTGGAAATTATGCTGGAGTGCCTACAACTTATGAAGATGAGCCATCAAAGTAGCCACGCAAGTAAGCTACTATTTAATACTGTTGTTCATAATACATTACTGTCAGTATCTGGAAGTGTTTTGCAACATATGGGTCTCTATTACAATATTTTATATCCCCACACTCTATACGAAAATTACCTTTATCTATAGCAGATAGACCTGAAATAGTAGTCGAATAACATCAAAACATCTTGCTATTGAACTCGTCCCTAAAATGCTTTCCTGTGTTGTTTTCTATGTGCTGATAGAGGCTTTCCTGATTAACGCCCAATATAACTTTAGTGTTCTAGAGGGAACAGATTGATAACAAAAAGCATAGGAATGCTCTTCTATGTATTCTTTCTTTGATGAGCTTACACGAGGTTGATAATGATATTTATTTTCGGCTTTTCGACGTCTTCGTCTTCCTCAGAGCCGACGATCCGAGTCGATGGTCCATGCTTGTTATTCGTCTCGACGTGGCAGCTCCGCCTTCGTGTCGAGTCACGTCTTCTTCGTTGAGCCATCTCCTCGAATGAGGCATCCTCACTCAGTGATGCCCTTTTATACACGATGCTGATGGTCGATATAATGATAATGTCCGGTGGTACCAATTTGTTCTTTTTCTATGTGTTATGCTTCTGTTTCTTCCTCTTCTCTTCTGTTATGCTTTCTATGTGTTTTTCTATGCTCTTCTATGTGTTAAAATAAACTACCGGAAAAAATGCTATGGATTTCATAGCCATAGCAAACCGTTTTAATACCTATATGTATCACTCTACCCAAAAGTGTTAACAGTATTGCAAAAGACGATCTCAACAACGAAATAATTAGCAACTTTCCTAATTGGAATCGAGGAAAGCCTGAATAACGGACCGTTTGCACATATGGAAGAAAACACCGATGATCTAATGGGCTTGCGCTCAATCTATTTCATGTGATGTGACATGATATTAGCTTTCACGACTACACGCATAGACTTCTATATGCACCCTGCTGTACGTTTCGCAATCGTGAACTGGCTAACATATCCATACGAACCCGCCAGAGTGCAAGAAGAAGACGAAGATTATATATATGAAGTAGCATAATTAAACCCTAGACTACAAGCGATAGCAGCAGTGACATCACTTCACAACTTATCGACCCAATTGCACATCTGGATCAACAGTATTTAGATGGTCCAGAGAGACACAGAGGCAACACAATTACTCGTCTACAAACTCCATTTCTTTTCCTTTTCTTCTCATATTTTTGCTTCACCACAAATATCTTTGCTTTCTGTCATAAAATCAAACAATCGTTGCATATTATACTCTACACCTCTACACAAATTTCAGGTGTTAGAATACAGCTGTTAGGCTTGAATATATGCCACGCCATCATTTCTAGTGTGTGTGCGCGTGTGTTGGTGTGTGTATTGGTGTGGGTGTGGGTCAGGGGCGGGGAGGGTAGAGGGAGCGGGGGGGGGGGGGGGNGGGGGGGGGGGGGGGGGGGGGGGGGGGGGGGGGGGGGGGGTGTGTTCCCAGGTGGCTCCTACTTTCTATATTATTGTGCGCTTCGTATGCTAACTATGTTTGCTGTTAGGCACGCTTGCCCTTGCCTTATAAACCATATCTATGTCTCTCTGTTGCTTACGCACGAACTTTTAATACGAGCTACTGGATCGTCACCTGATAAACTTTTTTTTATTAAAGAACCTTCTTGTACACCGTCTTATATGAAGCACCTTTGCGTACGTTCCGAGTTATATTTTGAAGGAGTTCGTCCAGATTGTACTAACTGAGAAACTTTCGAAAGTTGCTTTTGTGCCAGTAATCCGATTTCTTCTACCAACACTCTTACCATCATAAAAACTATATAAATTCCAACGTCATTAGTCTTCCCTCAGTTCGCATTGTCGCTTCAGATCGCGTGGTAGAATTCATGTGCCGAGCTCTCAATTATTGTAAGCAACCTTACCCTCTGTTGTACATTATGCCTCTCACTTCTTTCGCCGATGTTTAGTTATTCCTCATTCCTCGTTGAAGTTATTCGTCATATTACTTCTTCAGCCTTTCTATAAGCTGCTCTCTCTACCAACCACTTGTTATCATCTTCTTCCGCTCCGCCACATGCTCATCATTCTTGGTTGAGTAATGTTCTACATGGAGTTTTTTTGCATACTACATAACAAGGCTATGGGAAAACTACTCTGTGACTTTGAAGCACCACATTACTTTTGTCTTTCCTTATTGACCTTTTTACCACATAGCTGCTTGTATTACAAAATCTTTACTGTTGTATTATTATTGATTTGGACGGTCTCATTGGTCTTCAAGTTTAAGATTGTGCTCTTTAGCAACATCAAAAAGACCAGCGTGACAAATTTGTACAAAATCGACTATTCTACTTTGAGCTAGTGAGCATTCGGAGAACTGACTCGAAGACATGTTTTGTACTGCCAACTGCCACAGGCGGTGACATAATCCGTTCATGGAGTTTAGCCTCTATTCATGCTTTCTAACGTAACTCGAACTTCAGGGATTAGAACCCATGTGATTTTTCTCGAGCCGGATCTCTCGGTCCGAGGCGGGGATTGTGACCTGGAAGAGATTACTGTAGAACGCTTCCATTATGAATTTCTTACCACTGTGGGTTGTGGTGATGATTTCATCTTCGTTCAGAAGAGGATAGCGTATCATCATAGTCGCACAGATCACGAGGTGGCTTCTTCAAACTAGGTCGTTTTTGAGCTGCTTCTACTAACTTTTTATGTTTGCCCCGATGTAAAACTCCTTCAAAAAATCTTTTCATCTGGATTATCAGCTATGTTAGAACATTATGGTGGGATCAAATTTCATCCTCCTTGTTTTATCGATCAACTTCTTGTTGACAACGGAGACGCGGTCCGAACTTCTCGTTTGAGCACTAATGAGAATTCGGCACAAGTTTGAAGTCTCTTGGCAAGCAGCTTGTAGTCGTCGGTCGAGTCATCCTTTATCTGCTAGTCACATAGTGAGAGCATTTTATTAAGAATATTTTAGTCATTCACTAAATGTTTTGTTTTTCCTGGACGATCACTGGAGCAGATTTATTTATTTATGTGACCTCATAATAGTCAACATTACTCAAATGATCGACTTGCTATAAAGCTTGGCATAGGTAGTTGATATATTTTTTTATATAATCTCATAAACTAATCTTCTTAAGCTGGTGCAAGGCTGGTATAGGTCTTCCTTGTCGTTGTTGTTGTTGGTGTTGTTGATCGATGACTGACGTTTCAGCTATTTCGCCTTCCTCAAAGCCGTACCGTTACGAGTGATACTATTACATGACTATTTATGCCGATGTTTGCAGAAAATCGGTCTTTTGAACTATGCTCTTATTCTGCTTATTTATTTCAGTGCAAAAAAGGCGCAAACAGTTCGTTAGGATCAAACGGATGCATAAATATTTTCTATCGGAAATTATGAAACCAATGACGAAAAAGCTAAAAAACCGCTACACCTAAAGAAAGTCACAACACAACGCTTAAATCAAATCTGACCAATAAAGTCAAACCATAATGCTCTATTCCATTCTCTGTCAAGCTATCTTTTGGACCAAATTCTTTGTATCCTAATCGCCTCAGAAGACGATTTTTCTAGAAAGTGGCATTTAAGCTACCCTGATCTATGAGGAAAGCATGGTGAAATTTGAAATACCTGATGAATAAGAAATGAAGTAGCACATAAGCTCTGAATAATGGAGGAACCTTCGGATGCGATTCTTTGATGGAATCGAAGATGCTTGGTAGATGGGTTGAGCACACTTTCCTCAACGTGATCAACATCTAGTCGACGTTTTCCAACGAGCAAATAACGTGGATGATCAGGAAATCCAGCCCACCACAGTAATAGAGAACGAACATTCTCTCAACACTATTGGTCGTAAAACATGTTCTCTTCTATGTAGTGAAAGCAGCCTTACTCTATTGCCGAAAGAGTAAACGAAATTCTCTTGCTTCTTTAACTGGCATTAAAACTAAAGCCGAAATAAAATTTCTGCCGAAACTGTACATTTGAAACTCTGCTATCCATTTCGTTTCGATTAGCTGGTGTTTGTTCACAACCTCTGTTAGCATACAAAATCGTTACTATTGCGTCTAGAAAAGGTCAGTAAAAAGTTCTCAGGAAACCATAAGACCGACCATATTTCTGTGGCAGATCTCTTATTACAAAGCAGCATAAACAAACTTAAACGATGTTACTATTTCCGTCGAAGACGTTCTTTTCGAAATACACAGTAGGAAAGAAGACATCTGCTTCGATGGATAACCATTCCCGTCCTGATCTCTTCTTCTTTAACATCACAGGCTGAACAAGATGCGTCGATCCATTGCAATCGGCTTATTCCACTTCAAATTCTCCCATTGATTTTGTGTTTGCTAGCATGCACTTCATATTTGTGACTTTGACGGTACTTCTTCGCATCCAATAGTAGGTGATGATGCCGACTTTCCTTCCACGCAGAAGTTGGAGACGAAAAATGGTCAGGCTTGGTGACAGGATCTCGTATGGAGAGTAGAAAGTGATACCCCACCAACCATGGCTAGGCCGCAAACAGAAATCAATGGCTCAGCATAGATATAGAATAACTGGAGCTTCTTATCTGACTTTGTTTCTGTTACTTGGGTTTAAAGTAGGACGTAAAGCAGCAAAGGCTGGGGGCAATTTTGCCAAGTATTTGGCCGCAGACGATTTTTTAAAGAAGTATACCTCAAGATGCATACAAGTTTTCGTAACGGGGATGTGAGTTGTTCTCCATGACAACGCCCAATCACAAGTGTCGAAAATGACCCAAAAATTTTATGAACTTGGCTACGAAACTTCACCTCACCCAACTCATAAAACCAGAGTTCTTTCGAAAACACTAGTAATTTGTTAAAAATGCGGCTGTTTAAGCAGCAAAATTTTTCGTCGGCCATATAGTTCATGGAATGGAAAAATGATCGACTCTATGACCACAATAACCCGTATTATGAAAACAAATGAAGCATTTATTGTACGAACTATCAAGTAGATTGTAAAGTTGTCAGTTGTAAAGTTAAAGTTTTAAAGCATTATAAAGTTATTGTCGGAGACTTTAATGCCAGAATAGGAAAAGCCAAAGAAAGCAAATACATGACCGGTTATTTTGGATTAGAAGAAATGAATAAGAACGCAGCCTCTCTCCTAGGACATCTATCTGCAGCACTTCCTTTCCATGGGAACTCGTTTTTCCAGAAGGAAAGCCGCCGCTGCACATGGGAGTCTCCTAACGGCACGACTCATGCAGAGATCAACCATATTATGAGAAAGAGAAAATGATGTCTACCTGACACATCGGTAATCCAGTTGTTCTGGACTACTTCCAATTACCACCTTCTTCGCTGGAAGATTCAATTCAGCCGCAAGCTGGAAAATCAACCATGTCATCGATCACGAGGAAAAAGTCTGTCTGCATATGACGAGAACATTCTAAGCGAAATCGTATCCAAACGTTACTGGCAGATTGAGGAAATCTTGATCGAAGACTACGACCTGCTTGCCGAAGCACTGAGAGGGTGGGCCGAATTCACCTCAGTTCTTCAAGCAAGAAAATCTGATCGCATTTCCATTATCACTAAGTTGTTGCTCGAAAAGGGAAGTACATTGAAGCTTGGTCATACTGCAACAGGGCGGCCAAGGCTAGCAATAAATGCAGAGCGCGGAGCGGCCTCGTAGGAAGGTCTACATTAATACAGGCAAAAGAAACTATTGGAAGCAACAGAGAAAAAAAGCAGTCTGCTAAAATGTCGTCTGGACTTGTGTGATTATAATGTTCCGATGTCAGTCCTGATGAAAGAACACGGGATCACCAAAACTTCCCAACCTAAAATAGCACTTGCTGGAAAAAAACCGCCTGGAATCCTTCCGCGAGAGGTTCGAGTTGCGATAGAAAGCATGAAAAGAGGAGCAGCTCCAGGACCCGATAATATTAACGCCGGCTTCCTTAGACTGGAAGCCACAGTTTACATGTACTTCTCGTAAACCATGTGAAAGCCTACCTCCAAAAGGAAAAATCCTAGACCAGTGGAGCACGTCGCGCACGGTTATCGTGCCCAAGAAGGGTGACCGTTCGATGTGCTTGTTGAATGTCCTCTACAGGTTCTTCACGAATGCTATCCTGTAGCGCATATCAAGGAAATTGGATGAGGCTCAACCAGTCGAGGAAACAGGATTTCGAAGAAGCTTTTACTGCATTTTGCTACACGGACCACTCCTAACCTTTGTTGACTATGAAAAAGTGTTTGACAGTGTCGACACGAATACAACTCTATCAGCGCTCGTCGACCAAGGAGTGGGCCTGCCTTACATAAGAACTTTGTCCGTTTGTTATTGGAACTGCACTACGAAAAAATAGCTTTTCCATCGACATCTTACCGTACCCATAGGAAAAGGAGTTCGATAGAGCGACACAATGCCGCCAAAGCTGTTTAGTGCTGCACTGCAGTGGATAATGAAGTCACTCGATTGTGATGAGAAAGGCATACGTATTGGTGGAATATTCCTATCAAACCTTCGTTTAGCCGTTGACATCGTCACTTTCTCAGGAAGTACTAGCGAAGCAGAGACGATGATCAACGAGCTCAACGAATCGGGAGAAAAGAGCGGACTGTGCATTAATCAGAAGAAGACCCAATTCATGAAAAACCCATGGTGCGAAAACGAAAAAATTGAATTGGATGGCTCTCTCACTGCAGAGACCACCTCGTACGTTCATCTTGGGCGATCCATAAACATGGAAAACAGCATAAAGAAGAAACTTGATGGAAGAAGGAGGGCGGTTTAGGCCGCATTTGGGCCTCTCAAAGAAACCATCGACCAAATGAAGAACCAGAAAATCTGCGCTCACCTTTTCAATTTAATATCACTCCTAGTGCGCTGTTGTTCTGTAGAGACGTGGGCTGTTACTTCAGCCACGTCAAGAATACTCCACATTACTCAATGAGCGCTTTAGCAATCCCTTCTGAAATATAACCGGCACTCTCGATATCTGCCCGGAATGCGAAGCTCCGATCTTCGAACTCAGTCATATCTTTGGGACCCAGGAGAATATATATCAGTAGCGAAACACAAATGGGAAAGTCACATAATGAGAAGAACGGGCGACAGACGGAAAAAAGGAACTGTTGAGTGGACTCCGCGAGAATGCAGACGTACTCGAGGACGGCTGATTACACGTCGAGCGGACGTGTTGATAACCAAAGTTAGTCGGCCGTCCTCGCAGCTGCAGTTATTTTACAGATCATCCTATAAGTCTCGCGCGAGATAATATGGTCGAATTAAGCCATCACCATGGACGACGATTGCGAGGGGAAGAAACAAATGGAAAATGTGCTGGGTTCCGCACAACTCGTGAAGGCGAACCGTCCAAGTTTCCAAGTAAGGAAGGAACTAAGTAGAAAAACTTTTCATGCTCCATGTGCGTAATACTTACTTCGACACTTGGACAGCTCGTCCTTACTGGCTGTGCGAGCCCCAGCACCCTCTCCATTGTTCCGTGTTTTGCTAGTTTAGCCATGTTGCTTCTTTAGAGTACCGAGGTCAGTCTGGCCAATGTCGGTCCCAAGTCGTCACCATCACAGGCAGTCGCAACCTTTGTGGATCAGAGGGAGATTTGCTTCCATGCGACTAGTTTGACACCAGGAAAGTGGTGGATTTTGGTAGTCTCGGCTGCGTTTTCTGATGGAAACTCCGGGTTGCTTCTCGGGTTGGGAGACCCTATCTGGGGTGAATCTCCTGCTGTATAACGCAGCATGGCACCCAGCAACACCTCCATACCACGATGAGGCAGTAAACCGTTGGAAATTTTGCGCGACAATAATATCTACGTATGCATGAATGCGTATGTGTATGTATATGTATGTGTATATGCATATGTTTATGCATATATTCAAAGAACTATGGTGACGACCTGTGCCTACAATGCACGTACACTTGCATCCGAGTCCTCGATGGAAGACTTGCTCATGCAAGCAAGAAGGATAAGGTACGACGTCATCGGCCTGTCCGAGACGAGAAGACGCCCGCCTTTCAACGCCGTCTATGACACCGGTGAACAATTGTTCCTCGGAACATGCGACAGTAGAGTCGGCGGCGTCGGCGTTCTCGTCAACACGAGTTTATCCACGAACATCGATTCATTCGAACAACTTACAACCCGAATGGGACGTTTACGTTTAAAAAGACGTGGATCAATTCCGGCTTTGATAATCTTCGTCGTTTACGCGCCGACATTAAACTATGACGAAGTCGAAGCGCTCTATATGGACTTGGAGAAGTACTACAGAGAAGACTACACATTTTTCAAAGTCATCACTGGAGATTTTAACGCCAAGATTTCCAAGACTGGACCAAGAAGAACGTCTGAAGAGCGTCGCATTGGGACCCGCGGATTAGAATGGAACGAACAGGGTGAGCGGCTATTTGAGTTTATCATGGCGACCAAGACTCGCAATGGTAGCTCGCAATTCCAGAAACCCCACCCTCAGCGCCATGGTGGTAGCTCGCAATTCCAGAGACCCCACCCTCAGCGCTGGACGTGGGAGTCTCCCAATGGAGAGTACCATAACGAAATAGACCACATCATAGTAAATAGAAGGTTTTGCCTAACCGATTTCGTTGTTTTCCCAAAATTCTACACGGGATCAGACCATCGTCTCCTTCGTGCAAGATTCTATTTCTCGCGAAAAGGAGAAAAAGCTGCTAAATTCCAATACCGAAGTCCCAGAACTACCTTGAACTGAGATTTATTCAATTTATTAGTCGGCTGTGGAAAAGATGCCGTTGTCAATAACATCGACGAACAATACGGTCGGCTCACTCAACATCTTCACGCTAGCGCTATGAAAGCTCAGAGTTCGAAACTCACTAAGAGACGTCTATCTCCAGAAACACTCGAGCTGATACGCAAGCATAGAATCGAAAGAGCTGCAGGCAACCGCGAACTAACATCCGAACTTGCAAAACAATGCAGAAAGGCGATAAAAGAAGATCTTAGAGAGAGAAGAGCAGCAGTAATGGCCGAAGCTGCAGAGGCTGGGAAAAGCATTCGCAAAGCCCACGAAGCTTCGCCAATTACAAAACCAAAATGATTGCTCTCCGGCGCCCAGAAGGAACAGCTACAGCGTCCATAAAGGCAATGAAGAATATCATTCACAAATACTACTCGGATCACTTCGATAGCCACTTCCACCTTCCGTCATATGAAATAAAAGAGGATGGATATGTTGTACCACCGGTTCTCCCTTCCGAAATCCGACATGCTATTTCGTCGGTGAAAAATCGAACAGCACCAGGTCCGGACAGGATAAGACCAGAACACCTTAAGAACCTCCTGCCGGTTCTCGTAAACACACTGGCTCGGCTCTCCACACGTTACCTGTCTGAATGCAAGGTCTCTACTCAATGGAAGACCAGCAAAATCGTGTTATTGTTCAAGAAGGGTGACCTACACGATATTGGCAACTATCGCCCAATCTGTTTACTGTCTGTCGTCTACAAACTTTTCACTCGAGTCATCCTAAACAGGTTTGACAGAACACTAGATGAAGGACAGCCATGTGAGCAAGCAGAGTTTCGAAGAAGATTTGGTACGATGGACCACATCCACACGATAACAAGGCTCCTTGAAGTATCGCGAGAGTACAAAAGACCGCTTTGTCTCACTTTCATCGATTTACAGAAGGCCTTTGATTCAGTTGAGATGGAAGCAGCCTGGGAAGCCCTTGATAGTCAAGGAGTCCCTATTCTGTACATAAACATTCTTCGTGAGCTGTACAAAAATTTCAAAACCAAGATATCATCATTCTACAACGATATTAACATTGACGTCAAAAGAGGAATTAGGCAAGGCGATACCATCTCGCTAAAATTATTTAGCCCCACCCTCCAGAACGTCATGCGATCATTGGAATGAGATAATATGGCAGTGAAAATCGACGGTTGGCAGCTACGCCATCTTCGCTTTGCTGATCACATCGTCCTTATAACACCAAATATTAGCCAAGCGGAATGTATGCTTGCCGACTTTGATAAAGCCTGTGGAAAGATTGGTCTTCGACTAAATCTCACAAAAACGATGTTCATGAAGAACGGAATGGTTTTCGCATGCCCCATTCACGCTCAACGGAGTGAATATCTCCGAATGCTCCAGTTATATCTATCTAGGTCGGGAAATCAATATAATGAACAACCAGCTCCAGAGCTGAGCGGAAAGAAAACGAGCGGCTTGGGCAGCTTTCAAGAGCATCGACGATGTAGTGAAGAGAACAAAGAACACCCGACTCCGTGCCCACCTTTTCGTCTCAACTGTACTTCCTGCCCTAACGTATGCGTCAGAAATCTGGTCGCTGCGTAGGCAGGATGAAAGGTCACCGAGCGTTATCGAACGCGCAGTCGAAAGGACGACGCTAAGAGTATCCCGTTCCGCACAAGTAAGGGATGGGATCCGAAACTCCGATCTGCGTTAACGATCAAAAATCGGAGATGCCGTTCCGTACGCCAAACAGTCGAAGGTAAGGTGGGCCGGAGACGTGATGCGTATGAATGACAACCGGTGGACAATAGCAGTTAATGACAAGATTCCTCGGGATGTCAAACGTACTTCAGGAAGACCACCGACCCGATGGTCAGAATTCTTCACAAAGAGCCTTGAAGAGAATGATATGATGCTCGACGAGTCCCTAGAGCGAGCAGAACCCACTGGGCTACTCTTGCACGCCACAGGGAAAAATGGAAAATTTACTGGCGGCCGCTCGAGTGACTCGACGATCAACGGGACTATAGGTGGTACAGGTGATATGTACACGTATATGTATAGGTATAGGTATAAGTGTAATGTATGTGTATATGTATACGTATATGTATATGCATTTGTATAATGTGTAATGTATGTCTCTATGTGTATGTGTGCACGTGTTTGCGTGCGTGTATATATATATGTATGTGTATTTGTGTGGTGCTGTAAGTTGTGTATATAGCGACGTGTGCACGTGTGTATACCCTTGTGTGTATAAGTATTTGTGTATGTTCATGTGTTTGAAGGCGAACACCGTGTTCTGTCAATATAGCGCAACTAAATACATCGTTACTGTTTTTACAAATACTCTATCATGAGAATCATGTGTAATGTAATCAGTGCAACTCTGTTGAAACTACAACGTTGCTAAGATATTTGCAAAACTCTGGACCGCAGGTGTCTATGGTGGGGAACGAACGCGCTATTGTCCTTTCCGGGGAGTAACGCGTTCACCACCACACCATGCTGGTCCTTTGTTTCGCCTGTCTCTCAGCTATTTCTATCGATCTTTTTGCCATAGCAATCACCCGTCAGCGGGGTTGATCTGGGGAGCGCAAATCGGCATAGAACCCAGTTAAGCTATGGCTGTAGTTGAAATCACAATGTTTAACGTTTTGTTTTCTGCCTTCTATAATTTTCATGGCAGGTTACTAAACGAAATACAACCACAACGTTGCTGAGATATTTGCAAAACTGTGGACCTCACAACCAAGATATAATCATTTTACAACAATATTAACATCAATGTTCACTTTTTCTTTAGTGCTTATTACAATTTTTCATGGCAGGGTTGGCGATTCGGGCTCCCTAGATCGATCCCATTGACGGGTGATTGCTGATGGCGCTGATCGCTAGAACTATTTGAGAGACATGCGAAACGAAGGACCCGCATGGCATGGTGGTGAACTGTTCTTAGGCATTCCAAAACAAATTGCGGGAACCCAAACAAAATGGATAAACAGTTTCGTACCCACACAAGTCTGGCACCGTCTTTCCAATCCTAATTTGCTGATCTGGATTGAATGAATGGATAGTCTCACCGGAAAGGACAATAGCGCGTTCGTTCCCCACCATAGACACCTGCGGTCCAGAGTTTTGCAAATATCTCAGCAATGTTGTGGTTGTATTTCGCTTAGTAACCTGCCATGAAAATTATAGAAGGCAGAAAACAAAACGTTAAACATTCTGTTGAAACTGTTCAGTGCACGTAGAATTAACATATTAGAAAACGTCCCTAACATACATTGATAGAAAAACGACTCGCATTCGGTTACTTAATACTTCCGAGATATTTCGTTTTCTTAGTAATTCTGTATACATTACGTTCACCAATTAATTTCTCAACGTCATGGAGGTGTGCTTCGGAATCATCGTATGAGTTACCATGATGGCGTCATACTGTCTCTTTAACTTTCGCTCTCAAGCATAAATATCCTAGCTTATAACAAATGTCATTGGTCCATATAAAAAGCTCTCAAGTTTGGACAACTTTCTTGAGATTCTTCAAATAAGATGAAAATCTATTTCGTTTATAAGAGATAGTATTTTATCGTCTTCGTAATTCTTCTGAGAACAGCTTCAGCAACGCCTTGCTTGTTAAAGACCTTTCCCTACAAGAAGCTACCGTGTTTCTTCAAGCAGTGTTCGTTGATTTATAAGAGATCTCATGAACACACTGTGATACTACTCACAAATGCACTGTAATATGCGAAAAATCATGCAGTTTCAACGGTGTTGTGCAATAGAAATGCTTCCTATCCGCGTATTCAATGCCTTTCCAGTACGTTGTGGATTTTACTGCGCTACGTGGACTTCAGGGCGTATGTGGCGCAGTGGCTGGGGGCGCGCTGCAACACACACGTGGAATCGATCCCTATGACCATGGTCCACCAAGTCCTCCATACCACTGGGGCCGGCAAATTGGCAATGTAGAGCATCATCAACAAACCCATCGAATCTCATTTTTCATGAAACATCACAGTTTCGTCAACAACAATTCTTATCTGACGCAGAAGAAGTACACGTCGAACTGTTTTCTTTTTTTTCTTTGTGTTCATTCTTCATCTCTTCTTTTCCCATTCCATTTGTCCAACATTAACTGCTCGAATGCTTTTCTGACTATCCAGTTCGGCTGACTTCTTCCGAAGCTGTTATATCGGCTACGCGAACCTTGTGCCTGCCGTCGTGCCGTTGTGCGTAAACCTGCTCTAACTGACGTGCAAAAGCTGCCGTCATCAATGGGCAGCAGTTCTCTCCTTTTCCTACCCGGTCTTCGAAATCACCATCGGTTTCATTTCGGGCATCAGTTTCTTCTTTCTTTTTTCTTTCCTTCCTCTTTCTTTTTGTTTGGAATGATCTTTGTACCGTATAATGGGTAGCAGTTCTTTAAGGACTGTAGTGTTTATGTTGTGGTCCATTTCACCCGCTTCGCGGCCAACTTTGAATTCATGCAAAGAACTCGTGCCGGTTCAATTTTTTCCTAATTTTTAGCTCTGTTGTCTTGAATTGAGCTCAAGTTGACATATGAAGAACAGCATAGAAGTGTAGGATGAAATTTTGACGATCTGATTTGCGAGGAGCAGGATTTCGATCATCTGAATTGCTGTCTTCATCATCTGAACCGGTTTATAGTGCTGATCAGAACGGAAAACGTTGTCAGTTGTCTCCGCATCGTTCGTATCGGTGTGGAGTCCGATGAACGACAAGCCACCTGTCTCGCTGTTCATTTCTCAGCCGCCGTCGTTCAATTTGTCTCAAGTTGTTGAACTCCGTCAGTGCGACGCGAATTCCGACGACTTCATTCGTTCCTGAAGTCGGATGGGTAGTGGTGACGACGGAAATCGTTCGTCTTCTTCATTCTTCTATTGATTTCCGCTGACTGGAACGGATTTTTTCCAGCTTATCGCTTGTTCGATCTTTGATTAGGAGCGTTGTGCTGGACATACGAGTGCGGTGGACGCGTTCCCTGGTGGTTCAGTGCATTCATTACTCGTTCTCATATCGTTTTTCTAGTGATAGTTCGATCCTTATCTGTACCGTGCGATGAGATTTAAATGTTTGATAGGAAGGTGAGCCTCTTTAGAACTCTTCTATTTGACATCTGTATCGTTGGAATCGATATGGACGATGTTATGTTCGAGGCGGTTCGACAATGTAACACCGGATCAATTTCACAAGCAGGTATTTGATTCCATTCAGATTTTTCTTTTTGTTTCTTTCCGACATTTTTAGACGACTTTACGTTTCAGTACAATTCACGAGAGTGCACGAGTTTGTTTGACATTGTTTCAGATCCCAGTACTGTTAATGAGAATGCATTTGACTTCACATCCCGTCAAAGTACATCTCATTATTCATCTTCAGGTAGATCTGTGAAATTTCTTTTCAGCTTTCATTTTGGAATTTCAGCGAGAATGATAGAAGCACGATAGCAGGGATGAATAGTAAGATGATGATATAACAGATATTATGTAATTTTCCACAAATTTTGCAAAAGTCAGTATGAAGTCAGAACGATGTCGTTTGATGTTGGCTAGGTTTTTCAACTTCCATTCCCGATTGCTTAGTAATCATTAGGCTTCTGTATTTATGAGCTTTAGGAACAAAAATATCCCTTAGATTTAGACCCTAAGCCATAATTTTATGCGCCCACGCACCGCCGAAGAAAGCTTTAGCGAATTCCAGAACAGCTATCTTAACAGCTCAATGATTTAGAACATGCTTAATCGTGTCGTTAACACGAAATAACTGGAGAAAGGACAGTTGATTCGTCTGTTTTAAGTTAATATTGCTAATTGGCCGTTTAGTACTGTTTATGGAACTTCGCAGTACTTTAGTTACCTTTTGACAACCTGTACTGACATCATCACGAACACAACAAGGTAGAAATATGTAGTAAATTTTACGTGGATTTCCAGTCTTTTCGCTTTAATCCATTTTTCTTCATTATTTACAATCAAATATGATCCCACAGGAATTAGAAACCATTCTCGTTTAGTCGAGTAATTTGATTCAATTCTTGAAAAATCACTAGATGTAGAAACCGGCAGGTGGACAGTCTCACGACTATCTCTATTTACTGTAGAATTTTGGAAAATGGAAAATAGGAAAGCATGTGAGCGCTACTTTTAGATGCCCTTACCTCAGTCGTGTTTCCGGATTATCCTATTTTCAAAAGTTCTGTAGTTTTGTTTCTAGTTGAATTAGAGAGTTTCGTTGGGATTCAATAGCTTTCTGAAATAATGTTCCTTAGCAGGAGAGCAAGTGAATGCATCACCGTTTTCTGATTCGACGCCATTCACCACCGCAGCACCGGAGAATAGTCGCCATCAAGGCGAAGGTACTCTGGAGAAGAACGGATCCAAAACACCAATTTCAAGGCCATATGCTAGCGATGCTTGTACCACAATCGTTGCGTATCTGATGCAGTTCAACAAGGTAAGAGAAAAATACGTTTTTCCTGTTCACTTTTGGCCTTGAGAAAACTTGTTCGTTCAGTTCTTTTTGTCTTGTAATTTCGTCTATTGAAGTTATTTCTTCAACTTTTTCTCTTTTTGCTTTATTTTTTTTCAATAATAGAACATTGGTGTTGTTGATATAGCTGGTGATGTAGTGGTGTGGCACATCGTTTCGTATTCTCTGACTGTTTTACAAGAGATTATATTTTTACCGTCTTTACAGTTTAATCCTGTTTTTTGTGTTAAGGGTGGATCTCTTGGTCTTAAGGTGTTTCGGATGTCTAATCTCCTTTAGAAGGTTTTACTCAGAAACATTTAAAGAGTACGAGCAAATAATAAGTGCTTCCTAGCCATAAGTATTTTCTTGATTGGAACTGGAATTAGAATCATTTCGTCCATGATAGAATTTTAAATTACCAGTTCATGGATATCTGTATCTTACTCTAAGAATGTGTTGGTTTAGGTTTCTAATTAATTTTAACGTCGAGGTTGTTATAGAAAGGATAAAGCTCTCGGCGTCGATCTATCCCTGAGGGATGCGTCATGCATTCGACTTCCTTAAGCACCGTTGGAGGTGATTGAGTGCATATCTGTCCTTTACAATGACTAGCGGTGGGCTGTCGTTGTATCGAGCCAGTAGTGCTATCCACCCAGACAAGTTTGGTACCAATGCAGACCCCGGAAGGATGGAAGGCTTGGCGTGACTAGGGCGCCGGGATAGACCTCATGTGTACTGCAGGGTGCCTCTCACCACTACGTCACACACGCCACGAGGTTTTTATAATGGTGTAAATTTCTTTCTGTTTGTTTATAGTTCTAAAATTTGACCAAGACATATCGAAAAGCTATGTGTTATTTCATTCATACAAGCGGTTAAGAAGTATCCAGTGTTATATGTCCTCAGAGTTTGCAAACAATTTTGCTTGTTCTTAAGACAACCGAAAACATTCATTGTTTTTAATGCGTGAAGCTCGACCCATCAATCATTGGTACGATCTCTGGTGATTTCAAGGGCCAGGAATAGTTCCGCCGTTTATTTCATTTGCATACCAAAGTTGTTCAGTAGTCCGAAGTGCATCAAATTTTCTTCCAAGGTCGTTGAAGTTCTCGTTATTGTGCTTGGGATATCCCATGGAGCTAGTTGTTAACAGCTCTAGTGTTCTAAATGCCAGCAATTTCGATTTTTAATAGTCGACGTAGCTAGGATTTTGGATTCCATCTCCTACTTCCACGGTATTATCTCCATCTCAATTCCAATTCCAAATCGCTGATCGCACTTTCGTCGTGCTTGCATAGCTCCCGGGTTGCCAATGTGTACCTTATGGAGTGGAGAAAAAGAAGTGAGGTCTGAGATATGTTTGCGAAACCGTATTTTATTACTCTTCCACCGTATTTCGAATGCTCTTAGAAGGTCTGCAATCCTTTTACTTCCTTCCAATCGGTCTTTACAAATTAGCAGACAATGCATCATGTTGACTTCCGGATTCGGACGCGCGCTTGGAGTGTTCGAGGAATGCAACTCTATTTGCTTTGTTTTGAAATGGTTCATTAAAAGCGGATGAATTAGTTATGGAATTTGTTCTCGTTCGTCCATAGTCTGTTCTTTTATCCCATCATTAAAATATATTTGTTCTATCTGTTCTGCTTACTAATTCTTTGGGTTACGAGAACGACGAGTGTGTATAGCCTCGTGGTTAGTGATACGTTATAATGCATATCCATTCGCTGAATCGGTCCCTTGACCCTTGGCTAACTAAGCACTCCATCTTTCTGTGGTCGAAAAATCGATACCAGACGTTTGGTATAATGGAAACACTGGGTTACATCAATGGGCCACCCCAAGTCATGGAATAGATTTGCATTCAATCACCTTTGAGCGTTAGTACTGTCGAGTGGATTTCGCAACTCTAAAGGTTGCACTCATTTGCAGAACGCCTTATCGTTTAGGGTTTATGAGAGCGTTGTGGTCGGGATAGCAGCCGTCAATGTTCACGCCAGTTCATTATGATGTTGATTTTTCATCGTTTCTGTGGAGAATTTCGTTGCAGCTAAATGGAAGAAAGTTGTTGGAAGTGAATTACAGAGGATCTCAGTCCTCTGGCTGCAATTTATAGTTTCTTTGAGCGCGATTCACTGTAATGAACTCTTTGCGAAACCCTTAAAGTTTGTGTGCTGGTTTTCATTTCACGTTATGCCAGTCTTATTGCGGATTACGTAAAGAGTTTGTAAACAGTAAGCAGAAGCAGGTTTAGGTAGAAGTTGCTGGTTGTGTCCTCCCGTTCTTGTATAACAGCAAACTCCTATTAGCGTTCTCTTCTATTGCCTTCGATCTTTGCATTCCGACGAGTAACTCGTGAAGAGGTGTTAAGATAGACCACACTAATTTCAGTTTAACTTACAGCTATAAATTTCCCGAATATGAAGTATTGTAGAGATCTACTAACTTTTGAACTTTTGCTAACCATAATAGATGAATTTCCTTTTATTGCTATAGTTTCTGCTAGCTTCTAATTCTTTCTGTTTTGGAAATAACGCCTTAAACACATTATTCCCCCTAACTCTAATACCCAAGCGTAGTCAGTAACACCCCTGATGATTAGATCGTCAATAATCGTGATAATGATATTTTGTAACATTAACTGCTAACCAGGGTTTACTGTGTTGTGGTAACTGACTGATTAGTGTCTTTCCATGTTGAGTTGCTGGCTATAGTATGGTATTCAAATAGTTCATTGAGCAGTTTGACGTTTCCAAGCGAAAAGCCAGGAAATAAATCTATCAATCACATGGTAGAGCAAAAAGATATATCCATGGCTGTTTTTTCGTCAGGTACATAAATAGGGAGACCATTCCAGAATTTTGGTACTCTTCTTGTCTCTAATGCAAGTGTAGTAGTTGTGGTGTGCAGGTGGTGTTTGGTACCCTCTGGAATTTGTCGACGATTGCAGATACAGATTTTTCACAGTAACTGCTTGCATAGATTACGTGGTGAAATATATCCAATAAATTCGAAAGCAAAATTTGAAGCAGAAATTGGTATTGACGCACCAGAAAGTAATCTCAGTCATATCGATTCCGGCTGAGCTTGAGACTTTGTGTCTCTTTGTGATAGTGGGAGTAAAACTCTTCGATGTTATATATCTATGAGAAAACTACCTGGGAGACAGGCGAAACGAAGGACTCCCATGGTGTGGTGGTGATCGAGTTAGCCCCCGACAAGGGTAATAGCGCATTCGCTCCCCACCGCAGACACCTGCGCTTCGGTGTTTTCCAAATATCTCAGCACAATTGTGATTATATAGCTGTGCTTCTCAATTATCCTTTTGCTTGAAGTGCAAGTTTATATACATCAAAATGATCGTTTTATAGAGTGCAGACGAGGAGTTTTCACGTAAGGCTATCGAATCGCTTACGAAAAAATTGAAGGATAAGAGGGATGAACTGGATGCGTTGATAGCTTGTTGCGGAAGTGAGGGAAAAGAGGCTGATAAGTGTGTAACTATAGCGCGTACGCTGGATGGACGGCTGCAGGTTTGTTGTTCTTTATGACGTTCTTGGCTTTTTTTTTGTCTTTGGATTTTTGTTGTCTTATGGGAAGAGCATGGTTTAGTGATTCAGCGTGCTTCCCGAGAAGCCGAATTCTAACCCTGCTAAACTTCCGCTGTTAAACTAATTTAAGGGATTTTGTGATTTGATCCACGTTATTACTTTAGTAAGTTCAATAAAGGTTAGCGACAACCAACATACTATTCTTCACCTTCAAATACGACATTTTTGATTTTAGTCTCCCGCACTACCTTTTTTTACTTTGTTTTTACGGGCCATACTACCGTTTTATATGGATGACCATTTATTTGTGTCCCCATGTGGTGACCTCGATGAAAGAAAAGGATTTCTCGCCTACAATGTCAGGCTGTTCCGTGTATTTTATTTTGTTTTTCCTCTTAAATGTAACACGAAAGGTAGATCGATTCCACTAATTTGACCTCTAGCAAATACCTTCTAAACGGAGGAATTGTTGGCTCATCGTTTCACGATGAGTGGGTCCAACAATTTTTTCATTCGTTTCGTTGCCTTCGAACCCTTCTTTGTAAGGATGTTTACATTTGTGTGTAGGTTGCGCTATGGCGTGAAGAACTTCAGTAATTTCTCTTCGTCGATGTGTGGGATGTTGATTGAGTTCGTTGAGCTTGATCTTCCCTTGAATCTCGAGATATTTACCTCTGAAGAGATGTGCCTGCACTGCCACTAGGTTTCTTCAACGACAGCAGTACTCTGTGGGAGTAGTCGACGGATCGACTGGGGGATGGTGTGAAAGGCGTAATCAAGAGTAAACTAATATTAGGAGTTCTTAGGCCGTGGGAGTATGCTTGTATGGTTCTATCGAGATTACGTACTTAATGTTATACCTTTTTATTTTCTGCCTACTATAATTTCGCGGCAGGGTACTGAGCGAAATACAACCACAACGTTGCTGAGATATTTGCAAAACTCTTGACCGCAGGTGTCTATGGTGGAGAACGAACGCGCTATTGTCCTTTCCGGGGAGTAACGCGTTCACCACCACACCATGCTGGTCCTTTGTTTCGCCTGTCTCTCAGCTATTTCTATCGA